AGGCCACCCCTGAGCCAAGAATGTTATTGGAAGAAGAGGATTCTTTTGTGACCCGTGAGATTTCTCAGAAACTCACTGGGGGCAGTTCTACTGCTCTGTAGGGTCTCTGTGATTTGCCCTTGACTTGATGCCAGGGAGTGAGTGCTCACCCTGCGGCGACAGGTCTGTGTGGCTTTGAAAGAGATGAAATGGGGCACGGAGACTAACCGATTTCTTCTGAGTTTTCACTGGAAAAGTTTCCAGACCCTTGCCTGAGAGCTGGGATGTCCAGTCACGTGAATCGGAATTCTATTCATGCTTTATTTCAGCGCATGTTTAGCGAACCCGTATTACGCGTATGTAGTTCAGTGTCAAAGATAAACAGCAGCGAACTAGACCGAGGGCGTGTTTGCTCTCTCATCTTGGAGCTCACATGTGACTGGGCGAGACAGATGGTGCAGTGAGTTACTCATTACGGCTCTTCTAGCCACACGCCTTTGTACCTCGCATCCAGTGACTTGTTCCTGATGGGGCTGTGGAAGGGAAGATGATGGTAGGATTATATGAGTGATTGTGGTTGCAAAAACTTGGAATTCTGACGCAGGGATTGGTCAGTTTTGCCATCCTCCTGGGTCTAAGATGAAGAGTCAAGTGGAGTGTGTCCCTCAGACCCTGAGATCCCTGTTGGGTGAGCCTCCTAGATCCAGGAGACTGAAAGCTTTGACACCAGAGGAGCAGCAGCCGAGCCAGAGTTCGAGACAGAAAGGTGGCCCTGTAGCCCAGCTGGCTGGTGAAGCTAAGTGTCTTCGCGCAGGAGGCTTGCTTGTGGAGCCCCAGGCCCTTAACCAGGGAAGCCTGGTTTGCTGGCCCAGGGAACTAGAGCTGATGCCTTCCTTCCATCTCAGGCTTGTGGCTGAAGGATGGGCCCTTTGAGCATTATTGGCTATAAGAGCTTGGTTGCTTTGCCCTCACACAGCAGAGTCCAAGAGGCTGTGGTAGGGGCTGAGCAATGGAAGAGCTACCTGCCTGTGTATCCCGAACATTTCTGATTCTGAATTGTAACCTGTTAACGTCCCCATCTTTGGGAGGTATTGTCTGAGTTCTGTGTGACCCTTGCACTGGATTGTTGAACCCAGCCGAGAAGTAGACAGTGCTGTGGGAGGGACTGCTGGTGTTCTGTCGTGGTCAAGAGTGGCTCTGGGAGCACCTTCTCCATGCTAAACATCAGCCTGGCTTAGGAACTACTGCTGCAAGACCTCACACATTGGCTCCTAGCCAACACGTACTGCTGAGTCATTTCTGACTCGTAAGACAGTTACACTGCAGCTGACGGTTTCTGACGGTTTCTGAGACGCGACTCATTGCAGGAGTAGAAAGCCTCCTCTCTCTCCCGTAGAGGAGCTGGTGGTTTAGAATTGCTGACTTTGTGGTTAACTGCCCAATACCTAACTCAGCACACCCTCAGCACTCCTAGCTGGGATTCAATAAGTATTTTTTGGACTTATGTTTTGGAAAGGCATGTGCCCTAGCACCCATCCCCCCAGCTTCTATGAAGGGGCTTCAAAAAAATTCGTGGAAAAACAGAATGGAAAGAAATAGAATTTTTTCATGAACGTTTTGAAGTCCTCCTCATAGTACTGTTAAATTTCAGCCTAGTCATTTCTCTGATTGGCCGAGTCCCTAGGCACCAACGAGCACTTGAGTATCTGGGTCAATTCCTCTGAGCCTTTGTCTTGCCCTTGGCTGCTACTTGACCTGCTATCTTGTGAATGTGAATGAAGTCATGCCTTTCCCAGAGTCTGTGAGGCGGACTCCTGTTGCGTCTGGTCCGCCCTCCCTGACCTCTAGACCTAATCTTGGCCTTCGCTCTGCACCTCATGCTGCGCTTCAGTTGTAGCCCTCCTCCTGCTAAGGTGGATGCTGCCCTCCAAGCCATAAAATGTTGGGGCTTGCTTACCTTCTGCGGACCTGAGCCCCAGCTCCTCGGAGGGAGAGCTAGGGAATGAGCCAGAGCTTTACAGCCTCCACCTGTGCACCAATGCTGTGGGTGCTGCCTGACCCCACGGGGCAGAGCTGGGGAGCATTTTGCAGCCTGGTTATAAAGATTTCTTTGGGTCCTGCGCCTGCCTGGCAGCCTGTTTAGGGATGTGTTCCTTGAAGGGGCAGGAGAACAGGCTCCCACAAGACACGCTTCTGAAGACTTCTGCAGAAGTGTGCACGCTCTCCATTTCTTAAAAAAAAGGATCAGCATTCCCACTGGAAACATGCTTGCTCTGGGTACAGCCATTTACAAAGTGCAGGTGGAAACGGCTGTGCAATTTTGTCCGATAGGTCCAGCTATCTAACATTGAATGGCTGCCCCAGGCCTGGCTTCTCCTGTGAGCACGCCACCCTTTTCTGTGTGGTCTGGCTCTTCAAGGGCTCTCGAATGTAGCCCTTTTCTAAAGCAAAAGCACCCCTTTGAATTCCAGGCCTTTATTGGACTCTCAATCGGTAAGTCTACATTTGTATGGGGTCTTGAACTCATTCTGGAATTTCAAAAACGCATTGGACACATTCTGTTTGTCCACCTTCAGGGGTGGTGTCCTGTGTGTGTCTCCCCGCCACACCCCTCAGCCTCCCAGACTTGCTGAAGCATCTCCATGAATCTATACCAAAAGAACCAAACCAAACAAAAACAGAATAAATACATAAGTACATAAACCATAGCCCGTTGCGATCGTGTCAACTGGCTCAGAGAGACACCAGAGAACCGAACAGAACTGCCCCTTCAGGTTTCCAAAACTTCGGTCTTTACAGGAGCTGACCCACACATCTCTCTCCCTCAGGGAGCCCCCCAACTTGAGGCGAGCATTTGAGCCCAGCTGCCATGACTCTCGGGGGTCCACAAACCCCAGATTGAGAAGTTAAGTCACAAAAGAATTCCTCTCAAATGAAATGATAGAAACTTACCGGTTGATTCTGAGTCACACAGACCCTCGAGAGAGTTTCCCAGGCTGTACCTCTTCATAGGAGCAAAGGGCCCCGTCCTTGTCCCATGGAGCCACGAGGGCGTCTGCACTGCTAACCCCAAGGTCCTGCATGGAATTCCCCAGCTGCCCCATGGGAGGAAGTTCGGGCTGCCTGCTCCTGCAAAGACTCAGTCGCCGAAGCCCCTATAGGATTTTCTTTGAGTCGGAACCAACTTGATGGCAGTGGGCTTGGCCTAGAAAGTATTTGCTTTCATTTTAATATTCTGGGTTTTTTCTTTATTGACAAAGGATGTTTACATTTAATTTTACCCTTAATGCTACGCTAGTCAGTTCTTTGCCCCAGCAGACTTTTCTATGGAATGTATTTTATTCAGCCGAGTTGTAACATGTGCTATACAGTCTAGGTGCATGTGTGCCAGTTTACATACAAGTATTTAAACAAGTATTTTAAATTAAAAATTAGAAATATTGTGAGAAATGTGTTAGGGTATTTGGTTTTAAAACCTTTGTAGGAAAAAACAAGTAATTATTTTTTTCTGTTTACAAGAACTTTTCGTCTTATTGAACCTTTGTATTATATGTGATAGATTTAATTCAGTTCAAGGCAGTCTAAGCATTTTTATAAAGTACATCATCTATTAGTAATTCCCAGCTATCCCTTAGGGGTGGGCAGTGTAAGGTGGGTGGGGTTAACTCTAGCAGGTAAATGCAATGTTCATTGGTAAGACTTGTGCCCTGCATTGCACACAATCAAACTTACTGCCATCAAGTCGGGTCTGATTCAGAGGCCACGCTGGACAGAGTAGAACTGCCCCTTCGTGCTTCCAAGGCTGTCACTCTTCATGGGAGCAGAAAGCCTCGGCTTCCTTACCTGGAACTCCTGGGAGAGTCATGTAAACTCTCATGGCTCAAAGACATACACATAAAAAATCAACAGTGAATATGGTGTAGGTTTATTTTCACCTCTCCCACTTATCTCATGCCATTTCCACTCTTTTTTCCCTTTGGGGAAAGGGACACCTGTTTTATTAAAATCAGCACTACTATTGAAAGGAGGATGTGCTTTGTGGGGGTCACCCGGCTTTCCCTTTTTGACAAAGGATATTCCTTCCAGGAGGGTGGCTTTGGAACCAGTTCTGTCCAGTAAACATTCACGAAACCCCTGCAGTGTATCAGACAGACAGTCGCAGTGGGAAGGGCCTTCATGAGCTCCTGAAGCCGGCAAGTCCCGTGAGGACAGGGAGTTTCTCATTGCTTTCTATCTAAACCTAGTACTTAGAAGCATGTCTGGCACCTCCGGAGGTGTTCAGTATTTTGAGGAATGACCAAAAGACTAAACAGGACCATGTACAAAAATATTAGGATCATTTGATCATGGTAAAGGTTAATAACATTGCTTTGGCATTTCAAGTCTGGAAATAATGCTCTGCTCAGTAATTGCTTATGCTTTTCGAAGGTGCTATGCTTTTAATGTTATTCACAGTCAAAATCACTATTGAAGCTGGTCGGATTACATACACATTGGAGGAAGCTCAGTTCACAGGGGCACGTCATTACTTGCCTTCCATTTGGCTGTCAACAAGGGAGGCAAGGCCCATAGCCATGACACTATGTGCAGACGTGATAAGGGCTCACACAAAAAAGAGGTCCTGTGTGGTGCAAATGGTTCGAGTGTGACTGCTGGCAGTTTGGAAATTCACTCGGCGGCCCTGCGCAAGAAAGGCCTGGTAGTCTCCTGTAGCGATTGTAGGCAAGAAAACCCCGTGGAGTCCAGTTGGACTCCCAGCAGCCTCCTGCACTACAAAAGAAGAACTCTGAAACTAGAGAGAAAGGTAGATGAGTTCCTGCTCTTACTTTTTGTTTCTAGCCAGATGGAATTCTTTGGAACACCAAGTGTGCACTTTATTGTCTGGGTGTGCGGTAGTTTTGTTCTCTTATGGCAATTTTAAAACGCTGTTTAAAATTCTAAAGAATTGAAAAGTTTATCAGCGGGAATTTTCTGGAGGTTGTAAACTTAAATCTTGTCTTTGTTCTCTTTTCCCCTTACAGCTGTGTGGGGCAACATCGTTAATATGAGGTAATTTTCTTCTCTTTTTTTGAAAAGTTGGCTAATGAAGTTGGATTTTGTAGACAGAATTCTGTTGTTACATAAGCTACCATTGACGTCTTGGGCTGGGAGAAGAACGCCGTTAAATGAAACTGGCCCTTTCGTATGCCCATCGCACACCTGGGCTGTTCCTCCCATCCTCCAGTCCCCCTAATGAGGCAGTTGATATACACAGCAAGCCCACAGGGCTCCTCGTGCAGTGATGGCCTCCTCTGTATTGCCCCTATCATTCTTTTGTGAATTCTGTTTCTGACTAGCGGCAGCAAGCATACAGGGGCTTTTCCAAAGCCTTTTCAGAAATTATAACATATGGGAGATATGATAAGTACTAACAAGACAGAAAAGTGCTGTTTTAAGAAAAGAGAGCGGTCCGTGAACCCAGAGCAGCAGGCAAGTAGGTATGAGCGACGACCTGTCTCAGCCCCAGGAAGCCTTCTGACTCCAACATATGTTATTGGAGCACTTATATTCTGTGCTTCTAAATAGGTCAGTCGAGGGTTAATTTTCTTTTTACGAAGCAAGCAAACAAAATTCCACCTTTCCATTTTAATCAGTCAGCAAGTAATAAAGCATTCATGGTATAAACACATTGGGAGCCGGTAGAACAACAGTCTTGCATTTAGTGCTGTACAGTGGCACATTTGGAGGGAAAACTCACATTGCTTTGTATTTTTTCGAGTTAAGAAAAAAAAATCCACACACCCAAGAATCACAGTTACAATTGTGAGCCAGTAAGCTGGGATTGGAATTTCCATGCTGCTGCACATAAATCTAGCTACGAAGGTAACCTAAGGTTGCTGTGGCCCCACCAAGCATTTCAGGTCACCTTGATTTTGCAGGTCGGGTAGAGCAGTGCTGATCCTCTCTACCACGGGGGCCTGTGTGAGTGTCTTTTTGCTGATGCGAATTCTGTGGGTGGCTAGGTGGGATGCTCAGATGAAATGTAAAAGAGCTCTGTTTTGTTCACTTGGAAGAATTCAGTTTTGCATGAAATCCCCAGAAAACACCTATGGACACCCTTCCTGACTTTAATATAAATTTCCGTGGTAGATGCAAGGTAGAAGTGAGATTATTTTAACTCAGTAGAAGCAGTCCACTAGGGAAGATAGAGCATAGTGCTTAGATTTATTCGTTTCAGGGGAGGGCTGTCACCAGATTGGCCTGTATTTTCTCTGGGCCTCCTGCAGGGCATCGGGATAGTGGCTGGTGCTTGGTGAGGAGAGGGAGCCGTTCTGCCACGTTAACAGTGGCCCTTGACTCAGAAATCGAGCGTGAAGTCAGGGACCCTTTCAACCCATCTCAGTTTTGTAGTTTTCTACTCAACAGGTCCATCCAGGAAAATGGCGAACTGAAAATTGAAAGCCGGCTCGAAGAGGTGAGTTCTGTTTTCCATATTTTGCTTCTGTTTCTCAAAATTGTTGGTCACTTTTACTTGCCTAATGGGTGTTGGTGTCTGTATTGTGACAGCTTTATGCTGTGGGAAGATGTTGAGACCATCTCTCGAGAAAAAAAGTATTCCCCTGTTCAGAGTAGGCGGTTTGTTATCCAGTAGAAGCAGTCTCCTGAGTGAGTCAGCGTTTGTCCAGTTGATAGAGTTGTGGCATAGCAAAGCAAATTCTACCACAGAGGTAACATGGATTTAAACTTTAACATGACTTTTCAGATGAGTCTTTCCAGAATGCCTTAGAGAAAGAGAAGTGATTACGTTTACCAGGGATGGAGGCACCTAAACTGCCAACACCCACTTATCTGAGCAGATGATGAAAGGTGAAATGCCTTTGACCTTGAGAATCAGGAAGAGCATCCAGCCATTACTACGTGTGGGGATGTCATACTTACCAAAGTGGAAACTAGTCCCTGTGGTTGCTGAAGATGGTTAATGAGCTTGGCTGCTAATTGAAAGGTTGGCAGTGAGTCCACCTCGTGGCACTGTGGAATAAAGGTCTGGCTATCCAGCTCCAAAAAGCATGCTGGAACCCTGCCAGGCACAGCTCTGTTCTAACGTACATGAGGTTGGCAGGAGTCAGAACCGACTCATTGACAGCTGCATCTGTGTCTACATCTTGTATTTTAAAATATTCACTTATACTGGAGTAAGTCCAAAAGTATTGCTACAAAATCATAGATTCCCTCTATTACACACATGCAAAAACAAACCGTGAAGCTATTGTTTCTCAGCATATTTTCCACTCAGTGTGTGTACCTCTGAGGCTGTTGTTACCATCTCTGTCACCCCTCCATGGGGACATCTGCACCTCTCAGCGATGCCGTGTCAAATGGCAATTTTCACATCCGCAAAGTATTCAAACCATGTGCCTTTCAAATGGTGGTTAAGTATTGAGAACAAAAAAGAGACTTGAAGGGGCGAGATCAGGGCTGTAGGGTAGATAGGGTAAGGTAAGTTTTCCAAAAGAAATCCTTATATGACTGTCCTTGCTCCCCTCAACACATCAGCAAATACCTTGTGATGAGGGTGGGGGGTGAGGACCCTTCTCAGTACGACTTTCCTGGCCTTTTGCTTGCCCATACAGTTTTAATTTTTTTAAAGACCTCTTCCAAATAAACCCCACGATCGCTCTGTGTCCTTCAAGGAATCAAAATTAGCCTTTTGGCATCTCAGAAAATAACCTATTGAAACTGACTTTTTTATCTTGAATTGAACTGGCCCGGCAGCACACCTGAGAGCCACTGTTGGGGCTTTTGTAGGAAGGCATTCGGAGGAGACTAAGTGTGTTAGTCTGTGTTGACTAGAGAAACAAATCCAGAGACACTCATGTGGATAAGAAAGAGTTTTATATAAAAGAGTAATTGAATATTGAGAAAACATCCCAGCCCAGTCCAGATCCAGTCCATAAGGCCAATATTAGCCCATATGACGGATACCAGTCTATAAAGTCCTCTTCAGACTCACACAACACATGTAAAGATGCCGAATGCAAGAAGATCACAGGCCAGTGGGTGGAAAGTCTTGTGGATTCAGTGGTGGTGGAAGCATCTCAGTGCTGGTGTGGGTCTCCACGTGGCTCCTCCAGCTCCAGGGCTCTCGCTCCATCAGTGTGGCTCCATGTGGCTTGTCAACAGGAATGTCTCCCAGGGAGACAAGCCTCCAAATGAGGTCATCAAGATGCGACCTGATTGACAGGCTAGACTCCTTCCCTTCACAAGTTGACACGAGATGATGTAACTTCGACACTAAGACAAATGTATTACTGAGAACATCCACTGATCACACAGGCACATTTGGTTGGGAATACGTCTGTGCGTCAGAACTGAAACTTTAGTGGCAATACTTTATGACTCACCCTGTCTTTGGTCAGTACATACAGATATGTCAACTATTTTAATATGGAATAGAGAGTTGGAGGGAGTCGGGAAGAGCTCAACTCCAGATTCTAAATTAAAATCTTCACTTACTGAAGTTTTAATTTGAAGTCAAATGTGGAGTTGTAGGGCAGACCTTGTATTGTTCTTACTTGTTCTCTCGCATTCAGGGGAGTTAGCACACACTGCTGTGGCTTGATTCATAGCCGGTGTTTATGTGGGAGAGCTGATAATGTGGATATAATTGTAGAAACAAGATGTTAAGCTCTTGTGGTCAACACTTAGGGGATTCTTTTGTTCCTGAAAAGAAATAGGTGGTGTTGATCTGTGTGTGTTTTTATGAGCCCGAAACACCTCTTGCACGGCTCCTAGTAAAAGGAAGAAGCAGGTTAATTACTTCTCAAAGACCCAAGTAGATATCGATTGAGTTAGAGTTCAAACCTGTAATTTGTATCATCTACATTTAGAATTTCAGTTCATGGGGTATATCTTAGTTCCAACTGGAAATGAGCTCTTGAAGAAACTAAGCTCTCTTTTTGCTTTATGTCACTTCAGTTTGAAACATCAGCAGCAGGGTGGGCGTGACAGAGGACTCTGTTTTTGCTTTAAGACTAATTTTGCTTGTTATTTTAGATTGTTGAGCCATTAAGAGAGAAAATCAGAGACTTGGAAAAAAGGTATGTGGTCTTTCTGTCTTGGGTTTAGGGAAATGCTTATATCTTCGTTGGCCAGGGGGGGATTAAGTATTTAGTATATTAAATATAAAATATGCAACATAGAAAGGTCAATATCTAAGCTGACCATTGGGGCAGTGAGTCCTGTAATAAGAAAGATCTGAGTCACCCTCAAGACAAAGGACTTTTCCATGGAGAGATAAATGTTTACTGTAGAAACTGGGTTCCCAACAAGCGATCCAAATTGGTGGGGAGGTGGGTGTGGGAGACCTGGTAGGGCAGGATCAAGGGGAACGTAACAAAGAGGAAGTGCTGAAATCCT